AAAGTATGGTAGATGGTAAAATCCTAGCAGCAGAATAAAAAAGAATTTGTATGATGGAAACGTTGGGTAATTGATTACGTACCATAAAGATGATTATACACCACTCTAGTGGCCCCAATGGAAGTTACACACTGAATTAGAGCAGAGACAGTACTCTCAGCCCTAATGAACAAAAGAGGTGCCCCAATAGATTTCAAAGACTGATCAAGGTGGGCAAGAGACTGTTTCAACCACCACCTAGAGCAACGCCCGGGAAAGAACTTCCCTTCCTCACTTGGGCACCAGATGAAAATAGGAAGAGTAACCCCATCCCTCGCCGCAGCAAACAGGGCTGGGTTATCCTCAATCCTCAGGTCCCTCCTGAACCAAACAATTGTCTTGCTTGTACTGCCCATCAATAACTCAGCTATTTCATGCTTTCATCACCAGCTGACGAAAATTGAAGTCCAACAAAGCACGCGCCATGAAACTATTCAGACAACCAAAGAATTGCATCATACTGACGATCTGTATCAGTTCATCTGAAACATATCAAAAGCATCGCCCTCCAAAATCTCGTCTGATATGATCAAATATACCCAGAGCTCCTCCGGATAAATAAGAATGAAACTTAATTTGATAAGATCCTTCACCAAATTCCAACTTCAAAATGAAAGCAGAAAAATAAAGTAAAAGAGAATATATCCTGAGGTGAAAAGGTGGAGTGAATCAACAGGTTAAAGATCCACATAGAATAGCTTGGAATAAACCGTGAAGCCAACTCCAGCTTTTTTTCTTTTCTTTTCCGCCCCTAATCCTATCCAACCCCTGAAGTTGACAGAAAAAGAACCCATTGACTAACGCAAACTGCCTCTTGACCTCAATTTAACCATCGTGCTTCCTCCACGAGTTCAGTTTATCAACAGTGTTCAATCTATTTCCTTCTTCATGGCTTCCCTGTGGTTGTTGTCCATTGACGGCAACATAGCGCAGATTCACGCAGAGAGAGAGAGAGAGAGCAGCGAGGAAGAAAAACTTCACGGTCTCGAAATTTATTTATTACTACCAGTAGTTCCATGAAATTGAGATTTCCTGAAGAATTGGTAATGGTGCTGATCGTGCCACTTCACTAGCAGTGAGATCACCGCCGTTGGAAGATGGCCTCACGGCCACGCCGTTCAGATACAATCGAACGGCGCACAGACCAGACCGTACAATATATCTACCCCACTCCAATAAATGCGTAATAATTGCAGTTGTCAGGAATGTACT